TAGTCACCAACCGTCAACTCCACCAACGAGCGCAAATAGAACCCCTAAACGTTTACCTACACCAACACTCAAAAAGAATATGGACAAAGTTAGAACAAATAGAGGCAGGACCAATCATAGAATGGATGGAAGAGACAGAAGAAGGAAGAAGTGAACACTAGTGGTTCCCTCGCAGTAAAAGAAGAGCCCGAGAACCCACACCAACTCCTTTCTATTGAAAGATGCAACGTTACCCGAGTGACAACCTTGGTAGCCCTACCACTTACAACATTAGATCATAAAAAGACGGGATGTTCTTAGCAGAAACACAAGTACCTGCCCTAGACTCCCCACCATTGGCTAGGACACAAGACACGAAAATATAAGGCATAAGCTGCAACACTTGCTAAACATACAAACACCTGACATAAATATAACACCTACGACTAAAATTAGACGAAACACAAACATGAAACAACAGAAGCACTTGGGTTGAGCCCCAAGACCTAGCACCCTACTACTACTTTCCAATTTCCTCGCTTTTCTTCTGCACTATCCACCAACCCCAAGTCCCTCCAATTTCCACCATTATTCTTCAAGTCCAGTTCCCGCACCACCCATCTACACACCAACATCAAGATCTCTTCATATTTTACTTCACCCATCGACTCGACTCGAAGGCACCAAGAGCTACTAAGACCATTCCCCCCATGAGATCCTCTCAGTCCCAGACCTCCATAAAATATCATGGTGTGGATCAACTTACCCCCACCCATCCCAGCAAAGACTACGCTCCCTTCCTTAAATCATCTCATAAAAAATATGCATTGTCTAAGTATTAATATTTTTTTGTAATAAAGTACCTACTTTATATACTTGCTTTTATTGCACTACCAAAACTGTTTTATCAGAAATTATCATATAGTTAGATAATAAATTAACATCACAAAAAATATATTTGCCAACTAGACATAATCCTGACAGCTCTCTCCTCTTGTTCCACCTTAATACAACCTATGTTGTAATGCTTCCCTCCCTTACCATGTTTATGTTTTTAAATTTCCACTGTACAATATGTACAGACTTATAATATAAATGTAAAAAAAAAAAAGATTGACAAATATATAATAGCTGTGGAGAGATAACATGATAACCTCAACTGTCACAGATGGTATTGTGCACGTTATTTCTATGCCTGTGTTGTTAACCTAACCTAACCTACTGGGTGTTGGTAGTGACACGGCAATAACTATATACAGTACAGTAATATCACTGTCTCTAGGAGTGACTGTCTCCAGGTATGACTGTCTCCAGCTGTCTCCACGTTGATAATGACAACAAAAAGCCGAGAAAAATAATAACATAAAAGGGCGGCGCGACCTTCACTGTGTCTCAACGCTCGACTCTAATACCGCCAAAGATACATTCTACAGGATATAATTTATTTAATATAAAAACAAATATAATAAAATACAAAAGATTATCAACTTGGGAAGATAAGAGCACAGGAAGACTCATAATGTGGGATAAGGGGACCGGTCTCAGAAATTTAGATTGACATATCGTTACACTGGAAAGTAATCTTGTGTATTGTTTCGTTGATGTGAGACTGAGTGATACATGAAGGTGTAAAAAAAAAAAAATAAGTGAAATTATTATTCGCGAGATTTCAAGATGAAAGTTGGTAACAGTGGTGCCACCTTACACCACAGCAAATACATTTCCTTTGTAGATATTCCTTGTGAACGGCAGTAGCGCCTTACAGATACACCTTAAGGATTACATCGAATATATTCTGTGGCAGGTGACTTTTGTGAGACTATCTACCCTGACTTCTGGTTCAAGTAGCGATAATAGTCTCACTGTTTCTGTAAGAGATGCTGTGTACCTCAGTTACTTGACAGAATTATCTTTACTTAGGTGTTCCCTGTGTGAGTCTTACTCCTCTGTCCCTGTTTACTCCTTATATTTTTGTTTACTCCCTATATTATTGTTTTTGTTTACTGCTTGTATTATTGTCAGTCTGTGGTTATAATGTTAACCTTGATATATACTGTATGACACATTTCTAAGCACTAGTGATATCTATCTATATATATATATATATATATATATATATATATATATATATATATATATATATATATATATATATATATATATATATATATATATATATATATATATTTCTATATATATGTTAAATAAAATATATCCTTTTATTTACTCAATGTTACCGCATACTATGAGACATGAGATGCAGTAGGAAGAGAAGGAGAAGGGAAGTGAGAGAACAGAGAGATGAGGGTTGTATTTTGAAGCATTAGCGACAAGTCCATTAGCTACTCGATAAGAGAATGAGATGTGGTGGCCAGATGTGGGTTTTTGCTATAGGATGACAGTGTGTGAGGACAGTGAGCAGACAAGGCACAGTAGAGCAGTGTGTGAGATGAGGTGAACACACGGGGTAGTCTGGGTCTGGAGACAACTTCTAACCAATATCAAGCAACTGTGCGTCAGTGACCCAGCTACAGAGTTTAGTGTACGGTGATAACTCACCCAACATCATCTGCTACTGTTCTTACGCGTGTCATAACAGATCCGTCACAAGTGAGTTTGAGCAATTGTATTCAGCTAACTTGAGAAGTTAATCACTTGAGATATGAGGGATACTGCTTGTGTTTGGTATTTACAACTGATAGTAGGCCATGTACTTTCAGGTATGACCGAATAAACATTGTCGTGCAATACTGGACGAATCTCCTTCAAGACCCAACCTCACCCCAGTCAGGCCTTGAGCCGTTACACTCAATCAACAATAAAGGAATGCTTACTTGGTACTTCAAACCTCTAGTCAAGTTAATTTATCTTTCAGTTTATCTTTGTAAACAGAAAGTTTTATTTTTTTTATTTTGTTTTAGTCGTCTGTAAATTGTTTGGTTTCATGAATTTTGAGTTTCTGTTATGTTATGTTATTCATAAATATCTGAAGTCATTGAATTTTTAAACACCACCTATTAACTTAACTAAACCCTCGATAATAATTATGAGGAAAATTTGGACATATCTGAACAACTTGACTTTATTTCACAGACACCAAAAAAAAATTCTAACCCAAAGAAATAAGAAGAAGGTTGAGAAAATGGTGAGCTGGGAATTATCCATAAATCACGACTAACAAACGTACATTAATCTCATTCTCGTCCAAAATGAAATATATATTTACACTTACAATTTGTAGAGACTATCAGTAATTTATGTCTAAAACCAATTTTACAACATGTTAATAATACACCACATTGCAACCTGTTAATTACTGTATCATAATTTGTAAAAAAAAAAAAAAAAACCTGAATATCTTAATGACTTTATTAATTATTCCTAAATCGTCAATCAGAATAGTTATACGCATGTAAAAAATAATAATAATTTGTGATATTTTTCGTAAGTTACTGATTGGAGTTAATTATATAGAGAATACATGCAGGTACTTTAAGCATGAAAAATAAACACTTAAGTTGGCATACTCTCTCACCACGACTTTACATTTGGTGCAAGTATCTTATGTCCTCGTGATAATAGCTAATTTTATAAGTCACTTAACTGTTCACTTGGATTCTTCTCTTTATTCTTCAATCTCGATCCAATATATATGGCAGGTGTTCTTTCATAATAGTCTCTCTGTACCCCGAGTCCTTCTGAAGAGGTAAAAGTGAACCTGTAGCCCCAAGGTAAAGACATAGGCATCTGTCAACTCCCTTCCCCTGATGGTATTCGTGGCATGATGGGTATACTGCCAGGGTAAGAACTGACTCACCCACACCACCTAGAGAAGACGCTGTCATTATACCACAACACCACAGGTTAAAGGCCTGACGAGGGAGTAATGCAAGACCTTCTTTACATAGACACCATTCATCTTCACAGTACAAGGCAGGTATTATGGCGCCGCTCTTCTCTGACACGACATCTCAGGCGGATCCTTGGACTTGGGAGGGCCCTCTTGTCCTCACGTAGGCACGAACGCTTCCAGCCAATAGCTTGTACAGGTAAAAGATGATCTCTGCACCGCTCAGAAGACTGAAGCCGAGGAAGAGACCGAGCAGACCTCCGATGTTGGCTGCCCAGGACAGGTGATCATGAGAGTAACAGGTAAAGAGAATAGCAAGAAATGATCTGAATATTATGTCTATAATCTTGTTGATATGGCGAACTAAAATAAGTTTACAGGATAAAAGGTGAATGGAGACATTTAAATACTGTTATTTGCCACGGTATACATACAGTACGTGCATCACTAATTATATTGTTAAAAAAGTTGGTGCTGATTGACTCCAGTTAATTCAGAGACAACTAACGAGTTCCGAGGCGTTATTTACCAACGATCTGACTGGCGGTGGCAACAATATCTCTCTTGTAGAGAGTAGAGGTGGAATATTCAAAGTACACGTGAACCAGCGCCCCATTCTTCCTGCGGAGAGAATGTGAACTACATTAAACAGAGAAAGGTTGGGAAGAATATGTTTTAACCTAACCAGAACAATATCGGGAAGGCCAAGTGACGATGCAAATTTACTCTGACGATGAATTATAGGAAGCAATAATATTATCAACTGCCCCTGATAAGAAACAATTTGTCCAGTAACTACAAACATTTTACGTCTGGTAATGTTACCTCTGCCCTCTGTATATGTACCAGATTTACGATGTTCAGAATAATACTTGTGTAAACCCGAGATAAACCTTGAAACTTAGAGTATGACAGTGAGTGGAGGGAGACCAACAACTTACTCCAGGTAATCAGTGAGGTCCTGGACCACGTCTGGGTGGTTCTGCAGCAGGTGTTCCAGCTCCTCCTCGTCTCTCAGGTAACACAACTCACTCGTGCCAACCTGGTGTGAGTATTTATGTATATAAATATAAATAATTACTGTCAAACTAATTAGCTTAGTCTGAAAAAAACATAGAATTTGTTACTTGAACCTTCACATCACTCACACCCCCCCCCCCCCTGAAATAATTTATACCTTTTGCTCCTTGTTGAAGTAACCAAGGCGGCACATGGTCTTGATGGTAGGAATAAGGAACCTCAGACCAAGCCATGTCTTCTCCATGTAGGGGGTGGGTAGGGAGGCGTAGCTTGGGGTGGCTAGGTAGGTGGTGCTGTTGCACCCAGAGTAACAAGCTTCACTGATCTGCTCCACTTGGGCCGGGTCCATGTGCCAGTTTGCTGTACCATAAGTCAGTAAACACAGATAATGTAGACAAGATATAGAAAAGATGGCTTTCAGGTGGCTTTTAATCACGTCAGTTTGCTGTTGAAATCAGTTACACAAAAAATATTGATGAATATATAAAAAACCACCATTATATCGTATTCGCTAATTGTGAAATATACTACAAAGAGGAAGCAGTTAATGACACCATGACTCAAAAATTATATATAAAGTATTTAGAGAGAGAGAGGGAGATAAGGGGGGGGGGGGAGGCAATATTTACACCTGTTTCTTACCTGCAAACTCCCTCACGCAGCCAATTTGTTCCTGACTGAGGCACACGTCTTCCTCACCTGTAAGAAAACACGTAAATATTTTCCCCAATAACTGGAGACATAAGAACACAGATAAAGGCGCTAATGTTGCACTACGAATGTTTGAATGTTTAGAAACTGCTGAGACAAGAAGATGTAAATTGATACCAGTACGACCATGAGTTCTAGCCGTACCGGGCATGTGGTAGTCCCTGCAGCCGCACGCCTTCAGGAGTTGTATGGTCCGCTGGTCAAGGACACACGCCTCGTGGGAGTACACATTGGCGTAGTTCTTGAGACGCCGTTCAGAATTGAGGAAACACCTATCAAAAGTTCAGAGAGCAGTTGGTAAGGATAAATAGATAAATAAATAGGTAGGCAGAAGAGTCACATAGTGGTGAACCTAGGGAGAGGAAAGGTCTGTAAGTTTGGGTGTAGTATATACCAGATATAATAACAAGTTCACTAAAAACTGACGCCCATGTTACAGAAGTATTTCCCTTGTTGATTAACCCAGACTTACAGAGCTTTCCTCTCCTTAGGTTCACCACTATGTGACTCTTCTGCCTACACTCACCCCCTTCACCACACCTTGTCATCACTCTTTTTATTGTTCTTCTAGTTCATCAAGCCTTTTGTTAACCTTAAAGTGCACCACGTACTCACTTCCTTTCGTTAGGGCGGAGCTGTAGGGCGGCCCTGGTGGTGAAGGTGGAGAATGCCTGTACGGGGATGAAGACTTCCTTTCCTGGGGATACCACCACGCCCTCGTGACTCAGACCCGGAGGTCCTGTTGGCTCCTGAAGGTGCATCTGTGGCCAAGCGTAAGGTTAAATAAGGTCTTCCAGGTAGGTAAAACACACACCTTTGACAGTTTTAGTAAATTACGAAACTTAATCAACAATTAATATATACACAAAATCCATTATATTATTTAGTAATTAATGATGGCGGTAAAAAAGAAACTCCATCACCTTGGCGACTTACCTTGAACCCGACTGAGTGGTAGGTACTGTAGGTATACTCGTACACCTGGGCGTCCAGCAGCACAGTCAACCCTTGGTTCACGCCGGCACTGCTCAAGTCTATGTTGGGTTTAACCTTGTTTACCCTAGCGCCTGTTTTGGTGGTGCTGTTGGTGCCTGAGGAGTCGCCAGGACACCGTGCAGGCGAAGGTGGTTTGGTGACTCTGATGGCAGACGGGGTAGGGAAATAAAAATGAAGTTTATACAGGTAACAAATTAGCCTTACACCTGATATATACACTCTCCATAACTTAGAAACTTATCATGAATGTTTAACATGTAAATATCTCAGTCCCATTCTGACTTCACAGAGCCGTCAGAAGTACTCACGTATCAGCGACGTTGATGACGCAGCAGAAGCCGTTCCTGGTGGAGACTTGGGTGAAGAGTCCAGCACAGTCGACCGTCCCACGCCACAAGCAGAACAACACCATGTCCTCACACCGCTGGGCGCTCTGACCACCAGAAAACACAACAAGTGGTTCAAATGTCTGAGTTAAAATAATACAAGACATACAGATTAATAACTTCCTCTTTGCCTCCCTTCAAGCTAGATCAGATCATCACCCTCTCCCTCTTTTACCACTGGTCACAAGATCAACTACCACCACCACCACCACCACTACCACCACCGCTACCACTACTACTACTACTACCACTACCACTACCACTACTACCACTACCACCACCACTACTACCACTACCACCACCACTAACCTCCTTGATGATGCAGTAGACTTCCTGGTTATCGAGGTGGAGTACGCTGGAGTTGACGAGTTCCCACAAGGGTTCTACACTGAAGAGGTTCTGGTAGACGCCATGTGTCAGTGTAGCCCATCGATCCTGCCTGTACTTCACTCTACAGGAAAGGCAGGTACTGTTATACTACAGTCTACAGAGTGTGGGTGACACATGGTACAAAAGCCTACATAACACTTTGTTACGATTAGCCACATCCACTTGTGCTTATGACGACAGAGAGTAATTAACCACACCCTCCGATGACGTCAGCCAGTAACCAGCTTCGACTAATGGTGACTTTTAAGCCATTAAACTTCATCATCTATTAATGATATCAACTAATAATTATCACTCATCTGTAATTACGTCAAGGGGATGTGAGGCTGACCTGCCGACTACGGTTTCCTGGGCGGGCGGGTGGCGGCTCTTGACGATGTGGTTGAAGTTACAGAAGGTGACGGAGGGGAAATCAACCTTGGAGATCGGGAAAGCGGTGGAGTCAATAGTGGTGAGAATGGGTGAGTCCTTGTACTCGCTGATGTTCTGGCCGATGTAGTAACAACAGGCGGTGAGAGAGGCCACCCAACTCACAGCCCAAAACACCCTGTAAAGAAGTACACCTAAACACACACACACACACACACACACACACACACATCTCATAACCTTGTTTGTGTTACAGTCGCTCACTTGCACAAACTCATGAAAATTACCGTTGCTAATTAGGAATACCTTTCACTACTCAGGTAATTATTGTCGTCTATGTAGTTTATGTGTAGTGTTCAGTAAGTGGATGTGTAATTTGCCTCAGCCATTAGTAATTAAACACACTGGTGGCGCCCGTTCAAGGTGATTACATAAATGAGGGAGTGAGCCTCCGCCCCTGGACATGAGAGGGAATATTTGGGGAAAGTGAACGTCACAGCAGAAGAGAGAGAGAGAGAGAGAGAGAGAGAGAGAGAGAGAGAGAGAGAGAGAGAGAGAGAGAGAGAGAGTACGAGCGAGAGCCAAAAGTGACAATAAATAAATACTTAATAAACTTCGCACCAGATGAAGTTTGTTATTATCTGATAAATTACGACTCGTAGAACTGACTTGACATAATACTGAGGAGGAAACTTGCTTAACAAAATAATAAACTTTCCACCATAAGACGATATAATATTCGTAAGACTTACCTTTTGGGTATCGATAGATCTCTCTTGACGAAATACTTGAAGCCGTGAAAAGAAGTCTCCTCGCAGAATTCCGTAACAGTTTCTTTCGCCGTCTGAGTATCGTCATGTTGTTCCACTTCGGTCAGCCATGGTCCTTTTGGTTGGTAAGGATAGACATTAAGGACCCTCACCCTATTCCTTAACACCATGGCTCTCCACCCCGTCAGTCTTGAGCGCTTCAGGGAATAAGGAAATGACGTCTTGGCCATATTGGTGTTTTTAGAGAGTAATTCTTGTCTGTTCTTACGCTTCAAATGTGTTGTTGCTTCAAGAGGATTATTTCACCCTTCGAACATTGTGGTGAAGTTTCTATTAAAATTTAAAAGTTGCTCGAACGTGATGTATTTAATCCGAGAGAATAAGAATCATCATCTTCACAGTTCTTCATGAGATTTTATCTCTGTTAGTGACTTTCTGATCCACGGGTTATCGATCCAGGATGGTGATAAAAATCGATATTTCAGGGTCACAGGTCACGACATGGGCTGCTTCAGAAGAGTAGGTCACTAAGAGAGAGTGACCTTTACCTGAAGCTGCAGGTCACCAACTGAGCCACAACTCCGACTCTTCATCCCGGCGTCACCTGATCAATACCTGCCTGGTCAAGGGGGTAAGAGAGGGTGGTACTTAACTTAATTAAAAGAATGTTATATAGAAACAGCTGTGGTGGTGGTGGTGGTGGTGGTGGTGGTGGTGGTGGTGGTGTTCGCCTGGCTCACTCGTTAACTATACAAAGCGACGTAAACTGTACATAATTATGGATAATAAATACTAAACACATTTTATCTTTTTTAGAGTGCATCAATCTTAATTGTTCATCTAAATCATAAAATTATTTCCTGCGTACTTTAGTGACAGTAGATCATCCATTTTGTTATAACCTAATTTTCAACCGTGAGTGAGAAGCATGTGAGGGTGTGTGAGGGTGTGTGGGGGTGTGTGAGGGTGTGTGATGGTGTGTAAGGGTGTGTGAGGGTGTGTAAGGGTGTGTGAGGGTGTGTGATGGTGTGTGAGGGTGTGTGAGGGTGAGTAAGGGTGTGTAAGGGTGTGTCAGGAGCATGTGAGGGTGAGTGAGGAGCATGTGAGGATGAGTGAGGGTGTAAGTCAGTCAGGTAATCTCGTACACGGGTCAGCACGCTCGCCTTGCGAGCGTGCTGACCATTACACCACTGGTCGCCATACATACATACATACATACATACATACATACATACATACATACATACATACATACATACATACATACATACATACATACATACTCGTACATAAAGGTTATAACTCAAACTAGATTATTTCGTTACTCCTTTATTTAAAATTGTTTCCTATGAATGGCATTTATGAATAATTTCAAATGATCTTTCAATGATGAGGCAGATGGTTCTCTCAGTAGGGGGGGGGGGGGAGGGCATAATAACATATAATAATCATGAGCTCTTTTAACCAACGATGGATGACTGAGTAACAAACCACCAACACCTGTACTTCACTCTTAATCTTTTTCAGGTAAATCTCACAGGTTTCCTTCACCACCACGAGAGCCTCCGTCGCCATCCTTCTACTACCACTCTCTCCAACATCCTCAGTTCTTGATGCCCCTATTTTAGCGCTGTCTATCCTCTTCTCTACCTATCCAACACTCTACCCACTGCCATTACATGTATTAAGCATTGTTGTTGTTTACTTCAATTCCCCCCCCTTCCCCCTCCCCCTCCACCACCCCCACCCTCCCCCTCCACCACCCTCCCAGATGTCATTATCATCACCAACTTCATCTCTTATACTCCCGAGGCTGGATTATTACCCCTATAACTTCACTCCCAGTACATGTTAGATACTAAACTGTTTGAGACTTTAAAAACCAACTTTGTATGTATTGAAAACTCGCTTAACTTGAATAGTCATTTGGAATATAGTTAGAATTATTAAAAATAATTTATGTAATTCTAATTTGATTATTTTTTAAATACTGTATCCATCTCACTTGAAATTAGACTCTGTAATTCTTGATATTGGAGGTAAAGTCAGGGTCACGGGGCCACTAAGTTGGTTGACCCGTTAACCTCTTGCCAGGTATAATGTTTAGTCTCACTCGGATAATATTAGGTTGTTTATGTGGACACGTGAGGGTGCTCAGGTAGGTCAGGTCCTTCCCTCCTACACCCCCTCAAGCGAAGGGTTTGACATATGAGGGCTTCCTAGTTCTCATGTAGGGGCTGACACCTCCAGCCAGCAGCTTAGATAAGTAGAAGATGATCTCTGCCCCGCTCAGCAGACTGAAGCCGAGGAAGAGACCCAGCAGACCGCCAATGTTGGCTACCGAGCAGAAAACAAACAGACATGTATGAAAAAGTGGAACAATTTCACTTCAAGACCAACTACGTACACATAAGAAGACCTCATTATACTTTGTACCATATAATAGAACATTTTATCACATAGAGAAGAGCAGATTCTATAGGAGCCTCTGTGTGTGTATGTGTGTGTGTGTATGTGTGTGTATGTGTATGTGTGTGTATGTGTGTGTATGTGTGTGTGTGTGTATGTGCATGTGTGTGTGTGTGTGTTTGTGTGTGTGTTTGTATATGTGTGTGTGTGTGTGTATCAGTTTTACCAACGAGCTGACTAGGCGTGGCGGCAACATCTCTCTTATATTGGGTAGAGGTCGCCCGCTCGAAGAACACATGCACTAGCGCCATATTCTTCCTGTGGTGTTGGAAAGACGAACTCTATCAGTCAACAAAGAAATAAAACAAAAATTCATATCCTGTAGTGGTGATTACGGTATAGTGTTGAGAGAGAAACTAGTCAAGCACTGTCAGAAGAAGGGAGATAACTTGAAGGTCTTGTATGTTATCTTATAGTTAACTCTTAGAAAGATAACACGGTCATCATAACAGCCAAATACGTAAACATCCTCCCAGCTGCATCTTACAACACTTCACTAACTGAATATATTTTTTGTTTGTTTAGTAACGTCAATATTATCCTTTGCTTAACTGACTGGTGGATATTTTGGCGCGTTAGGTTAGGTTAGATTAGGTTAGGTTAGGTTAAGTTAGATTACGTTAGGTTAGAATAGGTTAGGTTAGGTTTTGGATAGGTTAGTTACAAATTAATAATTAATTGAATTATATAACTAAAGATATAACCAAAAAATATATACAAGAGACATTATCAATAGTCTTCCCGTCGCTTCAACTCACTTTAAATACTCCTTGATGGCTGTCTGGATGTGTGTGTTGCTCTGCATTAAGTGTTCCACGTCCTCCTCGTCCTTCAAGTTACAAGGATCAACTCTAGACCCATTCCGAAGATCTGTCTGTGATGTCGTGTTTCAGATGTTACCATAAATCATGATAATATGGACACTACAACAAAGGTTATGTTTATAAAGTTCTGAGACCATAGTTCATGTATCTGTCATGACTACTCTGTGTGTTTGATTTGTATATTTATATTTATTGTAGTATGAGGGGACTAAGTTTTCTTTTATATATCCCCAAACTTAATTACAGGTGAGACTGAAGCCCCGGGTAAAAATGTTAAATATCTTACCGTCTCTATTTTTTTCAGTATTCCACGTTGACACATCGCCTTAATGGTCGGTAAGAGGAACTTGAGGGCCAGGGTAGTCTTCTCCATGTAGGGCGTGGGTAGGGAGGCGTAGCTGGGAGTGGCTAGGTAGGTGGTGGTGTTACAGCGAGAATAACATGACTCGCTTCCTTCATCCTCCCTGTGTAGTTTATCGTGCCAGACTCCTGTAGGAAGGTGATGACACCCAGTGAGTATTACCCTGGTACTATGGACAGGACGAATGATATCGAACAGCCAACGGAGGCACTCAGGAATCACAGAACAACAGGTAAGTAGGGGGGGGAGCTGATTGACTTACTGGAATCGTTTCTCATACAGCCTATCTGCTCCTGGGTGAAGCAGATAGCGTCTCTTCCTGTGTGAGAGAGAGAGACAGAGAAATAAACAAGAGAAGATATTAGAGAGAGAGATATTAAATAATGATAAATGAGAAGAAGTAAAAAAGTATCAAGAATCAAGAGAAAATAGAATTGGGATAACATCGACATTACTTTACATGAATTTCCCTAATAAACCATGAATGGAGTTCCTTATTAAACCATGATAATAAAGAATATTAAACAGCGTTACTAATAATAGATCAATAGTTTGTCAAATGCAAGATAAGATCATTAGGGAAAAGTGAGAAAAAATCAAAGTATCAACCGCATCGTGTACAGGTATACATACATACATAAGAACATAAGAACATAAGAATGGAGGAAACTGCAGCGGGCCTATTGGCCCATACTGGGCAGTCCCGTTTACACCCAACCCTTATTGCTCATATAAGCATCCAACCTATGTTTGAAGCTATCCAGCGTATTCGAGTTAATGATGATGTTTGGTAACTTGTTCCACTCGTCCACTACTCTGTTTCCAAACCAGTGTTTACCTATTTTGCGCCTAAATCTAAATTTTTCTAATTTAAAACCATTGTTACGAGTTTCGCTCCTGGTTGGATAGCTTGAGTACCTTTGTAATGTCCCCTTTGTTTAGCCCTGACTTCCATTTATACACCTCTACCATGTCGCCCCTCGCTCTACGTCTCTTGAGGGAGTGCACATTAAGATGCTTTAACCTGTCTCTGTACTCAAGGTTTCTAGTGTCCGGGATTAGTCTTGTCATTCTCCTCTGGATTCTTTCCAAGGATTCTATATCCATTCTGTAATACGGTGACCAGAACTGAACTGCGTAATCCAGGTGAGGTCTCACAAGCGCAAGATATAATCTTAAGATGACCTCGCTAGTCTTGTAACTAACACTCCTTTGTATGAACCCAAGTACTTTATTAGCCTTGTTACGAGCAAAAACACATTGTTTACTTGGCTTAAGATTCCTACTTATCATTACTCCTAAATCTCTCTCGCAGTCGGATTTCTCAATGGCATCGTTGTTCATCTGGTAACTGGTTTCCCAGTTTACATCTCCTAAACTGAGTACTTTACATTTGTCCACGTTGAATTTCATCTGCCATTTTTCAGACCATTCGAAATTTTTTTTTAGATCTTCCTGTAGTTTTGCTGAGTCCTCGTCAGATTTAATTACACGTCCTATTAGAGTGTCATCAGCAAATTTACTTACCTGTATGTTGCTGTCTATGCCGATATCTGTGTCGTTTATGTATATAATAAATAATAATGGTCCAAGTACTGAGCCTTGGGGAACTCCACTGGTGCCGTTAATGCTTACTCGCTGTTTCCTGTCCTGTAACCACACCCTAATCCATTTTAGAATATTACCTTTAATGCCATGTGCTTCTACCTTTCGTATTAGTCTTTCGTGGGGGACTCTGTCGAAAGCTTTGCTAAAGTCGAGACATATATACATACATACATACATACATACATACATACATACATACATACATACAGACATGAAAAGGTTAGTTAGATACAGAAACACTTAGAATTAGCGTTACCCCCCGGCCCCCCTTCTTACCTGGCATGTGATACTTCCTACAGCCACACGCCTTCACCAGGTGAGTTGTTTCCAAGTTCAGGATACACGCCTCGTGCGAATAAGCTTTAGGGGACGTCTTTAAAATGTGTTCGCCGTCTTGGTAACACCTGGTGATGAGGTTAATATGTCATCATAACAACAGGTAATGGAGGGGGGTCATTATTTTACCTTTTGGGGGTCATTCTTTTTTACTTTGGGGGGGAAGGGCCATTTTATTTATTTACTCCAATTATTGATTATTCATCACTAACCTAACCTAACTTAACCTAACTACTCACTTCCTCTGGTCGGGACGGAGCTGTGAGGCGGCCATAGTAGTGAAGGTAGTGTGAGCTTCTATAGGAATGAAGGCTTCTTTCCCAGTAGACACGACCACGCTATAAGGACCAAGACCAGACGGCCCGTTTGGTTCCTGGAGATGAATCTGTGGTGGGGAGGAGTCACTGTGTGTTAAAGCCCACAAGTCTGAGTCCATAGATATTCTTTTAGTGATGAACTGAATGTAGTGTTATTATAGTATGTTTCACCCAATGACAAAGACTCTCTCTCTCTCTCTCTCTCTCTCTCTCTCTCTCTCTCTCACTCTATCGTCCTAACCTTGAAGCCAACGGAGTGGAAGGTGCTGTAGAAGTACTCCTCCACCTGAGCATCAAGCAGTACCGTCAGGCCTTGATCCATCCCAGCAGCACTGACGGCGACGTTACTGTGACCTCCTTCTGCTGTAGTATCTGTGGTGTGTTTAGTAGTCGTGGTGGTCTTGAGCCCTGAGCGTTGTACATCACCCGGGCACAGGTCTAGATTCGTGGCCTTGCTCATGCTGGGTCACACAGGAAATCAGTATATTAATCGAGGAACTGTTAAATATCGTGATAATTCTTCATTTGTATTAGTTATCGAATAGATGTTGGATTCTATGGTAGTGAGTTTTGATATATCTATTGTGAAGTTGATCCACCCCAGTATCTCTCTCTCTCTCTCTCTCTCTCTCTCTCTCTCTCTCTCTCTCTCTCGTATAGTTACTTTTGGGTGAGGTTGATGATGCAGCAGAAGCCGTAGGTAGTAGGGACCTGGGTGACGTATTTGGTGCAGTCCTCACTGTCGCTCCACAGGCAGAAGAGGATCATGTCCTCACACCGCTGGGCGCTCTGTTCACCGTGGGAGTAGAGGAGAGAGTGAGAGAGGTAGTAGGTAGCAAAGAAACAAAGGGTAGGAGAGAAAGGAGACAGGAGAAAGAGAGAGAGAAAAGAGAGAAGAAAGAGAAAAGAGAAAAGGAAAGAGAAAGATGGAGAGTATGAAGAGGGAGAGAGACAAAGAGGAAGGGAGAAGCAGAGAAAGGACGGACAAGACAGATAGCCAGATAAAGATAGTGAGAAAGAGCTCTATCCTCTTATGTAAGTTTCAGTGAAAAATCTACAACAAAACAACCACTATTAGGTCCAGCGAGGTAAGAAATGATATAAAGAATATGACATCAAATCCTAAAGAGATAATATATATATTCTGTCGCTCTAAGTATAAGAATGAGTGTGATAATAACGTAACCAAAGACTGGAATCAAGAAACGGAGATATCTAACCTGGATCAGATTAATTCACCCCCTGAGTTACGGAGTTAATAAGAGGATAAAATAGAACATCATACATAAAAAACACATATTAAATATTAGTCACTTGTAAGAAAAAAACAATTATTGAGAGTACATATTGGGAATTAAACCAATATCAAACGATAAGTAATGTTAATGAACCCCGCAGCTGTGATGGGATGGTGGGAAGTATCCTAGTCACTAACTCGCTACAGTGGGACAAGAAGCGATCATTGTGTCCAGCGAGGAGAGGAGGGGTCGGGGAGGAATGGATCAGGTAATAGCCGTGAGAAGAGATAGAAAGAGACCGACCTCCTTAATGATACAGTGAACTTCTTGATCGTCGAGGCTCAGAACGCTGGAGTTAACAAGTTCCCTCAGAGGTTCACTGCTGAATAGATTTTGATAGACTCCACGTGTCAGTGTAGTCCAGTGGTCAGCCTTGTACTTCATTCTGTAGAAAAAACAAACAAACTATCATGGATAGATTGATAGATATTTTATTGACCACAAATTACGAATACAGAGTTTACACTAAAATTTTACATAAATGGTCCAAATGCTTTAAAACACCAAACATTAATAAAAGTTCACTGATTCAACCAGTAACACAAAAAAATAGAGGAAAACCACAAGTAAATAAGGTAAACAAAATAACTACAAGTAAAATAGACTAAAGGATATAAAATAGTTGTGGGTAATGGTATGTCCCTGTGACCTGTAACTATATACATGAAGTATTCGATGAACTGCACGACAAACAGTTTCATAATCCGTTCTTTCAGAGAGCAAATTTACAAAAGTTGAATTACTATATTGATGGCATGTATCTATTGTTCGGGGGCACTCTGGGGGAATATATTCTGAGTGTTAAAGGTATCCAGATGGTAACACATACTCTGGTCTGCAAGTAAACTAGCACTTAGGATAGTTAACATGAATGAACACTCCTGATTGGCTGAACCGTTGACAGTGTTTAGTATATAAGCAAGATAACATCAGAAGCCGGCAGTCATACCATACTACCTGTGTGTTCGTGTGTGTCTCTGTGGGGTTTATTCCTACCGCCGTCTTCCAGAGTTTCTCTCGCAGACTAAACGCGGTTGGTTATGTTAATTTTTTTACAATCTACTGTAGTTTCTTGCCTTATAATAGTTAACGTAGTAATTAGTTTTATTTTTTTTAAACCACTTATTCAACTGCTACTGACCTCGGCTTCACCTGCTGGTTCTGCTGGGGATATCAGTAGGTAATCAATCTTACCTGCCGACGACATCCTCCTGGGTGGGCGGATGGCGACTCTTTAAGATGTGGTTGAAGTTACAGAAAGTGATGGAAGGGAAATCAACCTTAGAGATCGGGGAGGTGGTGGAGTCGATGGAGATGAGAGTGGGTGAGCTCTGGAACTCGCTGATGTTGGTGGTGATGTAATAACAACACGCGATGAATGACACCAGCCAACACAGCAGCCAGAACAACCTGGAGGAGGAAGAAGAGAGGCACCAACCTTCAGGAGAACTTGCTAGGGTGATTTCATAGGGGAACATATTGTAGACGTGGCTGAGATGTCCCCCCCTCCCCTTACCCCACCCTATCCCCTTTATTCTCACTTCCCTTTCCCTCTCTCCATTCTCCTTCCCCCGCCCCTCCATTCTCCCTTCCCCGCTCCCTCCATTCTCCTTTCCCCGCCCTCCACACCCCCGAAAGGTTTATAAAAATCGATTAATGTTAAGTTTAGATTAAAATTGAACGAGTTAGTGGCTAATTTTACCGTGTGACATTTCCGTAAACACTCTCAATCTTTCAACTACTTTCAGGGATTTCCTTTTTTTATAACAAACACAGTACACGGAACTACATTTATCTGATCTAAATAAAATAAAAAAAAATAAAAAAAATCCCGAGTTAGCGTACCAAATTAACCTTGACCCAAATACTTTTCAGTTCAAGAGAATTAGAGTCGTCTCACGATATAATGGGAGGTAATGTGAAGTGAATGCACCATACGACTATAAGCAAGTGAGAGCTGGTTGGTGCGTCATTAAAAGCCAATTAGTCTCAATTGAATCGTAGTGACGCATTAAGTCTTCAGTTTTTCTTAGAACTAACTCAAGGACAAACAACTCATTAATCTCTTCCATTAGTTGTTGTCGTACAGGTGTTGTCCAGGTAATGGTATATAAATACTTAGTCGATTGTGGTAAAAATAAAACAAAGTAAGAAAATCATTAAGTGTTGTGTGTACTGACCGTAAGTCCCACGCCCACGCACTTATACTCTTGATACACACGTGAAGAATAACAATGAAATACTGAAACTGTCAAAAAGGTTGAACGATTTCTCCGACCACAGTCACCGATGGAGTCTCCCTGCCACTGTAATAAAACCTCACCTCACCTCACCTCACCTCACCTCACCTCACCTCAAACATATCCTCACTCAAAAGAATTATTTAGTTGAATGTTTACGACAATGTCCCGAGGTTAAAGAAAGAGTAATTAATCAGAAAACAAAAAATGCAATAATAACGAAATTGAAAGTTGAATAGAAGTGAGACTTTAAATTAACATGTATTTAATAAAACAGGTAAGCCACTTGGTTTACCTTGACCAACACGTGTGAAGATGACGGTATAAGGTAAAGGTATAAAATAATTCAATATAAATGTTAAAGAAAATTATGAAAAAAAGAATTACAAAATACACTTTAAAATCTACGAATAGATGTTTAATGATTCACGTCAGGTTAATTGTTTACAGTTACGATAAACACACACACACACACACACACACACACACACTAATAAAGAAATATTCCGAAATATTCCAAACAAGATATATTGATTCCTCGCGTGATGCTTGACACACGACTAAACCAAACAACTTACAATAGCTATGATAGTATACAGTTGAGTCTTAATGTATAAAACTGACGTTGGTATTGGCTATTTATAATAGTGTCCAGTTACCGGTGTATTTATCTCAGCACGAGTGAATAAAATATGTACACATTTGTCATCATGGAGAGAGATGACGCTGGCCAGTAACCGAGCGGGCGAGAGCAAGAGCACAGTCAATCACATTAACACCCAGCCATGCTCGACACCCCTACCCGTCTACTCGACCCCTTACCCGTGTACTCGATCCCCTTACCCGCGTACTCGCCCACCCCCCTACCCGTGTACTCCTGATTGACGCCATCATCGAATTCCAAACCATAAAATAAATGAAATTGTTCACTTAAACTCATTGAGCATTAAAGAATCAAAACCTAAAGAGTGGATGTAAGTCGCCTAGTTGCCAGCGTCATCATACACTTATCCGGTATAGATTTTCCTCCTGCCAGTTCTTCACTAATGGTTAAGAAGTAAATGGGTTTCATTGATTGGTAAGGCACAACCCCTCTCCTCTCTCTCTCTCTCTCTCTCTCTCTCTCTCTCTCTCCCCTCCTCCACCTCCTTTTTCCCACCTCTTTCCCAACATCCTCCTACACTATATCCACTACACTATTACCTACACTATGTCCACTACACTATTAGCTACACTATATCCACTACACTATTAGCTACACTATATCCACTACACTATTACCTACACTATATCCACTACAATATTACCTAGAAGGAGAGTTGGCAGTGAATGGTTGTCAAGGGCAGTTGGTGTCAACGACCGTCTTGACAGATATTGCAAGTCAATATCAGTCCCATTCATTGACAACTGGGACAACTTCTACGGCAGAAGGGACCTTTATGCTAGGGATGGGGTGCACCTGTCTAGGGATGGAGTAGCAACCCTGGCTGGGGCTCTAGAGGGGGCAGTTCAAAAGATATCGAAGTTTTTAAAATGCTAGGAGAACATATGAGCACGGGGGTGGAGGAGACTGCAGTGGGAGCGGGTAAACAAAGTGAAAGATTATAGATAAATAGTGTTAGGAATGATGACAAAACTAAATTAGACAGGGAGTTTAAAACTAAACGCGGTAAGGGGAGGACTCAAAACACGACTAACTTAAATGTCTACTACGCGAACAGTAGAAGTATGAGAAACAAAATGGATGATATTAGGGCCTTGGTATGTACCGAAAAAATCGATATAATAGCATTCACTGAAACATGGATCAACCTAGACACACGTGAGTTACCGGTCGAATACCAAATTGCGGGTTACAAACTGTTCCATACCGATAGGCAGACCAGGAAAGGAGGCGGAGTAGCAATCTATGTTAGGGATAATCTGAAGTGTGAAATAAATAAGGAAATAAAAACTGAGCGGAATACAGAAACAATTTGGATAGAATTAATCGACGGTAGGGAAAAATTAATCACAGGAGTAATATATAGACCTCCCAATCTTGATAGAGTCAATGAGCGACTTATCTGGGATGAAATGCGCAGGGCTTCCATACACAACAAAGTCTGTATAGTAGGCGACTTTAACCTTGGCCAAATAGATTGGACTGACCTTACAGGTAACTCAGAATCAGAGGATTTTCTCGAGACGATCCAGGACTGTTTCCTAAGTCAACATATAACCGAACCCACCCGGGGTAATAATATACTCGATTTAGTTCTGTCAAACAGAGAAAACCTCATTAGCAATGTCGAGGTAGGGAACGAACTTGCAAACAGCGATCACAAAGAAATTAGATTCCAGTTAGATTTTCAGGGCAGACGTAAGGAAAATTCCACTAAAGTACCAGATTTCAGAAGGGCAAACTTTGACAGTTTAAAGAGGCAGCTGAGAGAGGGGGTGTCGCTCTTGGCCGTGAACCTGACAGATGACACAGACCAGATAACGAGATCTGAGATTGCCGAGTTCCACGACAATTTAAATACTGAGTTACTTAATGCACAAAGGCAGAACGTACCATGCAAAAAACTCAGATCAGACAACAATGACCCTAAATGGATAAATAATTATTTAAAGAACATCATTGGCCAAAGGAAGGCTATAGGTAGAAGGATAAATCGTGGCGAAATTCACCTCCGGGATTATTATAGGGTATTGGCGAGTAGGGTTAAAACCGAGATAAGGAAAGCCAAGATGAATAATGAGGTAAGGATAGCAAGGGAGGCGAAGACAAACCCCAAAGGATTCTACCATATGTATCAAACTAAAACGCGAGAAAAGATTGGACCAATATGGTCAGACACCGGCGAGCTCACTGATAACGACAGAGAAATGAGCAATAATTTGAATAAATATTTTTCAACAGTTTTCACCACCGAAAATTTAAACATGATACCCGGGGCACCGACGTTATTCAGAGATAGTGAAGAAAACAAATTAAGTGAGATAGTAGTGACTAGTAACGATGTTAGTAAGCAAATAGACAAACTAAAGCCTAATAAGTCACCTGGCCCCGATGAGATATTTGCCAGAGTATTAAAGGAATGTAAGGAAGAGCTTAGTATGCCCTTAGCAAAGTTGTTTAACATGTCCTTAAAAACAGGTGTAGTACCAGAATCCTGGAGGATAGCGAATGTAATACCGATTTTCAAGAAGGGGGATAGATCACTATCCTCTAACTACCGCCCAATCAGTCTAACATCAACAGTAGGCAAATTACTGGAAGCAATCATTTCAAACTCTATTCGAAATCACCTGGAGAAGCACCGATTGATCAATGATTCCCAGGATGGCTTCACAAGCGGACGTTCATGTCTAACTAATCTATTAACATTCTTTTCATCAGTTTTCGAATCGGTGGACGAGGGGCACAATTATGATGTGGTATATCTCGACTTTAGCAAAGCCTTCGACAGAGTCCCCCACGAAAGACTAATTAGAAAGGTAGAAGCACATGGCATCAAAGGTAATATCCTTAAATGGATTAGGGCGTGGTTACAGGACAGGAAACAGCGAGTGAACATTAATGGCACTAAGTCCCATTGGAGCAACGTCACAAGTGGTGTACTTGGACCATTATTATTTATTATATGCATAAACGACATAGATATCGGCATAGACAGCAACATAAGCAAATTTGCTGATGGCACTAAAATAGGACGTGTTATTAAATCTGACGAGGACTCCACAAAACTACAGGAAGATCTAAACAAATTTTTCGAATGGTCTGAAAAATGGCAGATGAAATTCAACGTGGACAAATGTAAAGTACTAAGCATAGGAGATGTAAACAGAGAAACCAGATACCAGATGAACAACGATGCCATAGAGAAATCCGACTGTGAGAGAGATTTAGGAGTAATGATAAGTAGGAACCTTAAGCCAAGTAAACAATGTGTTTTTGCTCGTAACAAGGCTAATAAAGTACTTGGGTTCATACAAAGGAGTGTTAGTTACAAGACTAGCGAGGTCATCCTGAAACTCTATCTTACTCTTGAGACCACACCTGGATTACGCAGTTCAGTTCAGTTCTGGTCACCGTATTACAGAATGGATATAGAATCCTTGGAAAGAATTCAGAGGAGAATGACAAGACTAATCCCGGGCATTAGGAACCTTGAGTATAGAGAC